TACACATCCCAACAGCTCACAGAGGTCAGTAACATCAGTTTCGGGGGATCCAACATCCTCTTCTGACTTCTGTGGAACAAGGAATGTGTATGGTACACATACATACATGCAGGCAAAACACTTTCACACATAAAAATAAAAATTAATAAATTTTAAAGAGTCAATGCTCACTTCAGAAAACATTCATTTGTGCAAGGGCCAGAGATTAGGCAGCCAGCAACTGAAAGGATCAAGAAATACACCTTACATCCAGGACACAAAGGGAACCATTCTTCTAGGAAAGGTCCACTGTCACACATCATAAAATGGAACCAAACTAAGGTTGGCATCTGTCATCAACTTTTCTTATTACAAAGAAGAGTATCTCCCTCCATCTCATCAATAAAAATCTGTCTACTATCACTCCCGTTTTTTAAGTTCACAATTTTTATAATTTAATATGGTTAAAAATAAAGCAGACTTTCCATAGAAATTTGGCTCCACTTCCCAAACCTAAACAGAGTTTTCTGTGAAAACTGGACTACTTAAAATATACTGGACAAACTACGTATGGTGACATTTAGGGCAAGGAGCTCAGCATCTTGAAGCCAGCCTGGGCAAGACCCACTTGAAAAAAAAAAGAAGGAAAAGAGAGATTTGTAAAAGAGAAAGATAAGAGAAAAGAAAAATGAACTTCAGGACAAATTGAAGAAGTGGAGTAAAGAAATGAATTTAGAAAGAGGGAGAAAAATCAGTTCACTTCTGTCATCCTTAAGAGGCTGTGGCAGGAGGATTGCCACAAGCTCGAGGCCAGTCTGGGCTAAAGAGTGAGACACCATGCCAAATACATCTTTTTGAAAAGGCGGAAGAGGAAGAATAAGCAAACAACGCAAAGAATGGGAACCTATTATTAGCATATGAAATAAAAAATACTAAGGAAACAAGTGAATAATTTTCTAGTGAGAATAGGAGAAAGGATGGTTATGCCATGGATCATCTTCTGGCCTGCCCCAAGGGTGAGAATATTGCTAAACTCCCTGAGTAGTCACAGAGCCCTACCAATGACCTCACTCCCATTTCCTACCAAATGAAAGATGCCCCAGTCTTAATCCAACCTAGGATTTCCCAAACTGCACATGAAGATACTGTTCAGACTGTCAGCATTTAAATACATGGAAAAGGATTTTTAAAAAAGAAAAAAAAAAAACCAGGAAGCCCTTCAGCCCGTAGGAATTTCCACCAAGATGCCCTGGCCTGATGTTGTCCCAGGTAGGCCTAAGGAGACTCCAAGAAGGTGGCAGCAAAGAGCTACCAACGCAAATCTGTGTCGAAGCGCCTTTAGTAGGGAACATTCCCGTGATGGTTATGGTGATATCTACAGGTCTAAGAAAACTCAGCTTCCTCCAATGCATGAGTAAGCTGTAGAACCTGCTGCAGTCTGTGCTGTGCCTCGGTGGTTTGAAACCTGAATTATTCCCTTTGTCTCATTGTCTTTTCCCCCCATTCTGAAGAGTGATTTCTCTGTGCCCTCTCCCTGTACCTGCTCTCATCCCTTGATTCCATTCTTACCTGAGTTTTTTTTGGGGGGGTGCTGTTTGTTTGTTTGTTTGTTTTGTGTTTTGTTTCACCTTCTTGATTTCATGTTTTGTTTTGAGTTTTAGCTTCGGCATTGTTATATTAACTTCGCATGCTTCAGAGCAGAGTAGATGAATACTGAGCAAATCAATGTTACAAAACATGCCCTGGTTTAAGGATCTCATAAGACAGAGAGACGAGAGAGAGTTGGAAAACAAAATATGATGTAATTAAACACCATAAAATAAAAGCCCAAATAAACACAGCTTCAAAGGTAGTGGGGTGATACACAGGTAGGAGAAATGTAAAATGGGGTGAGCATTGTACAATTCAAGCCAATACCTAAGAATCTGAGATTGTGGTAGGAGTCCTGAAAATCAAGGCGGGGGGGGGGGGGGGGGGGAAGAGTTGCACAGGCTGATCTGTGTCCTTGAGTGTATGTGACCTCTCTCTTGTTCCCCCCACCCCAAAATATACATGGCACATCACCACAACTCTCCTAAAACCTCTTCCTTCTCTTCCCTTCACATTGGAATTCCACACTATCAGTTTAGTATAACCAATGAAATGATAAGGTTCCGTGTATGAGAGACAAAGATGCAAAAATCCTAAAAGCGCTCCGTCTCACTGGATTCAGGACTTAGTTCTTTTGAACGCCGGTCTGTGTTAGCACGACCAAAAGTTGTTTTCCTGAGGAAGCCTGGCGTCGCATATCTGTGATCAGAATCCCATAAGAAGATTTGGAAGAGGCAAGTTCAGGAAATGTTCAGAGTCTATTACCTTAGAATACAGTTTGAGGGAAGCCTGGGGAAACGAAGGGAGGGAGGCTAGAAAGAGCTTGGAGCCGACACAGGGGTGATGGGTGAAAATCTCAAAGCAACTGTGAGTCTTCCAAAAAGTAACTGTGTGTCTACCAAAAAGGTTGGGGGGTGGGGGGAGTCAATATAGTTGAAATGACATAAGATGTCACATAATTATCAGAAAGGAAACTGGATACCAAGGGACAAATATGTAGGTGATGTGCTTAGCAAGGAGGTAACTTCTAAAATCACTGAAGGGGGCTCCATGCCTTCCTCAGATCTACCTAGACCTACATAGACCATAGACATGTGTTTTAAAGGAGAAACAAAGGATGGCAGGTAGGCTAGGTGCACCCTTGGGGGAATGCAAGCCAAACCTTATCGGGAAAAACCGGTTGCTGTCTGACATTCTTGCCCCCATCAGCAATTACTCCTGGGCCCTGCAGCAAGGGAATCTGCCTAAAAGTTTCCGAGCAGAAAAGCAGTATAAATGAAGTGACCTGAAAGACCACACCATTACCAGTCAAGACGTTGGTTCCCTACAGGGCAAGGGAAACGAGCCGGGACGGCAAAAATCAGCCACCATTTCCTTTCCCTCGTCCCTTGGAACTGTACCAATTCAGTGACCAAATTGGGATCTTCTGCCTATGCAATGCCTAGCTGCTGATCAGAATCACGTCTGATGTCACACCAGATGAATCAGGCTTTGGCATCTTCCCACATCACTTCGAGAAGTAGCGATGGGAAGGGGTGGGGGGATTGGATGCCGCGTTCCAGGCAAGTTATTATAATAGCTTAAGTTTAAAACTTGCAGGGGTCCAGTAAAGTAGGTCTTTAAAGTCATCAGCGAAGCGGATGCTTTCTCACACCCTCTGCTACCATCGCAATCTTGTATCCCTAACGCTAACGCTAACTCCAGAGAGCTGGGTCCAGCTGTTGAAGACGTTCTGGGAAAAGTTTACCCTGGCGCCAATCTATGCTTTCCCCGCATCATTTACCAATCCCTGTGCTCCTTCCCTGGCTCAGCGTGCTCTGTGACATTTGCAGGGACTCACGTGGAGCGCCCAACCCTCATCGTTCTGAGCGATGACTCCTAGGAACTTCCCAAGGACCAGATTGATGCAGGCTCTGACACGCAAGTGAGGGGGGGAGTGAACTGAGTGTTAGGAGGGCCTGGGGCAGCCGGCTGAGCTCCAGCCAAGTAGGGGTTCATCTCAACAGCTGGGTCGATTTCAGTCTTCACTCCCTGGTCCCGGTACTGGCGCTGCTCCAATCAGAAGGCTGCTAGACATCCTCTCAGGCGCTCTCCCTGATTCACTTGGCTGCTTTGTACTGCCTTGTACTCCCTTTCCTGGAGCTACAAGGGTTTGAAGTACAAATCCGAACCCGCCGTCTAGATCCTTTCTCCATCCCTGCTATTGGTGTTGGGACACATGCCTGAGGCGATCCAAAGTTTCCCAAGCTGGTTGCGGGAGAGGGGTGGGCAGGGAGTCTGAGCTGCGGCAGATCAGCAGGTCTGAAGCTATGCCTGCTCCAGGAGGTGAGCATGCTGGACAGGTCCCCAGAGAGCTTATAGCTGCAGACCAGCCCTCACTGTGCATCTTATGAGACCCCACTACTCCTCGTGGAGCATCTCCACTCCACAAAGGCCTAGATAATGGAGTTACGAAGGTAGCTGGGTGCTTGACTTTATGTTTTTAGAAAATCATTACACTTTTAGAATTGGATAGAGGAGTCCCCAGTCCATGAAGTACCTCCCCACCACCACCACTTTTCTTCATCAAGCATTCGTGCTCGTCCTGAAGTTTTTGAAGATGAGACTCATTGGACATGTCCTCATATATTTCAATCTTTCATCGTTCCTGTTCCCACTGTTTTGGCTACAGTTCCCCCCAATGCCAGTCTAATGCCTCTCGTAAAAGTTATCTTAGCCCAAGGCTGCACTCACTCTCCAAAACGTATCATGCATTGAACACCGAGTTCCTCGGTAGCCATGAAGAGGGGAAGCACCAGGTCGAACTCTACAAAGGAAGTGTTCAGGGTGTGCAGGATGGCAAAGCATCAGTAACAATCCCTTAGAACGGCTGTGGGTGGCAGAAGGTGTTTTTCCCTTCTGCAGAAAGGATCAGTCACAGAAACTGCCCAGTAGGAGAAAGATGTCAAAATGATGTTAGGGTATCCATCTCTAATAGCACATAACAAGCATGTAACAAGTGTTCAGGGCAAAGCTAAAAAAAAAAAAAAATGAGAAAGGTGAGGGAAATTCCTGATGATTTTGCTACTGTTAAAATTCCATAGATTTTGGCTAGCCCTATTTCTTTTCTTTTACATCATCAATTTAGAATTCTATAAAGAAAGAATGACATCAAAGAAAATCATTGGCCTAGAAGAAAAGAGCCCGTAGGCGTTTAGGTGTTATATATATGGAGCCAGAAAGCACTGGAGCATCAGGGAGACTCCAACTTCAGGCAACAGCATGGGTGAATATGGACCTTGTGTGGACTGGGAAGGGGAGGTGAGGGCTGGTGCCTGAGCACAGACAGTCCTCGAATGTCTAGAGGCTGTCTATGCTTGGAGGGGAAAGTTCCATGGGAGGCAGGTGGCACTGGGCTTCAGTGAACATTTTCTTACTATGTGTCTTTTCAGTTCTTCTCAGGGACCTCTTCATCTTGCAAGTTGTACGGTTGGTACTAACTTACAACTTTTCTAACTGTAACTTCAAGGAGATTTCAAAAATATATTCTGAAGCAATTTTTCCTGACCTGAATGAATATTTGAATGGGGTAAGTGAGGAGATTTTTTTTTGAAGTATATATATATATATTCTCATGGGAAAAAAAAGTCACACAAGCCACAATTCAACTTTCAAGGAAAGGAGAATAATTTGGAAAAACTATCCCAAGACTTTCTTAGAAGTGGCATTTGAAATACCTTCGCATGTAAAATGTGTATCCTTATGGCTTTTATGGAGCGAGCAGAAGCTGCTAATGGTTATGGATATTGGTCTATTCCTTGTTACAAAGGGGGAATCCTTGTGAGATAAGAACTCAGGGGTGAGGGCAGCTAAGAAGTGGAGCTGTGTTTTATAGCTTTCTAGTGTTCTAGATATTTCAGGATACGGTTATGATGTGTGGCACAGTTTAACTTTTTAAAATATGTAGTAGTAGCTGTTTCTCTGATAATCCGCATCCTTAGAGACAGTGTGAGTGAGTGCCAAGTATGAATGGCTATAAAGCAGTTTGTAGACATTCAAAGAATGGTCCTTGGCTGGAAGTGGCTTGTAAGCGCTAGGTGCAGGTATGCACGCTTGGGTGGGGCTAGGGCTCCCTCTGAAAGCTAGCAAAAGCAGAAAACTAAATGTTTCACCATCTTGTCCATCACATAGGGTCAAGTCACTGGGTCGAAACTACTTTTAGAGATCTCTGGAAGCCTGGAAGGAAGCAAAGGGCCAGGGAACGGTTTTTCTCTCCAACTTAGATCTTTATCCTAATTTGCTTTCTTCCAGAGCACATTCGACCAAATCGAGGTCTGTGACGACTTGGTGAGTAGAGTGGTCAGCAGTGCTGGCTTTCCCCGGGGGTGGCGGGCATCCGGGAAGAGTCAGGGAAGAGCGCCAGGCGGTAGCTGAGCTCCAGGACAGGCTGGCTGCTGAGCCGATAGGAGACATCTGGGCTGCCAGAGCGAGGCTGCTGTCCGTCTAGGACGCCACTTCTCCGTTTAAAAGGAGAAAGCAGTAGGAACCCGCTTCAGCCCCGGGGAGGAAAAGGGCCAATGGGAAACCCGGAGAAACGAAGTCGAAACACCTCCCGGGGTCCCGGGGTCCCGGGGCATCTACTGTCAGCGCTGACTCTTGACAACTACTTGGGAGGCTGGGCGGAGCCAGCAGGGGTGGAAGCCCTTCCAGTAGGCGCTCTCGGCCACCCTTGCCAGGCCCCTCCCTCCTGGGGGTTGATTCCATTTCCCTCTCTCAACCCAGGCTCTGGATTCTGATCCCTGACTCCTTCCTCTGTCTTCCGTTCCTCTCCCCATCCCCCACCCTGCCCCCCTTCCATTCAGTTTTTAATTTCTGGCGTTTTCTTTGCTCCCTGAACTCGGCCGCTTGTGAGCAGACAGATTGTCTCATGAAAATCGAGTACCATACTCTCAATCCTATCCCTGGCTGCCCATCACTCCCCCAAAAACATTCGCCTTGAAAACGAAAGGGGCCCCTCGTTAGCCAATGCCCAGGCTACTCTGAAACTCAGGTAAGCCCAAAGCATCAAATTCTAGCTTTGCAATGAGTGGGAAGAAGGGAGACATGAATTAACTTGGGACTTTAAGGTCAGTGATTTTTTTTTTTTTAATTCTGTTTTTATCTTTTCGGGAGCAAATGAGCCAGGTGATCCGTCGTTCGAGCTTACCTTGACCGAGACACCCAAATACAGCCTACTATTAGAGTTATAATACTATTATATTTAGAGTTCTATTATTTTGTTGTTCTTTGGTTTGAATTTTGGTTCTGAATCCAAGCCGGTGTTTCAAGGTGTGATCAGTGATCCTCTCTCCTATGTTAGCAGCTTGTCCTCCTGGCTCCTTAAGTATGACAGTTCAAAAACCCAATTCCAGGGCACACAATCCACACCTCCAAAATTCCTGGGTTTGGTACCCCTTAAAGGGTTGCTGTTCATTCTGTGCCTAGACAGTCGCTTTGTAGCGATGTGCTTTTCCTTAATATTTACATTCCTCCCCACCCTAGTCCACTTGGCTCACTTCGCTGCTTGTGTGGATGGAATTGCAATCTCTTTTCATAGATTATATGTGTATGCAGTTAGATATAGATGTGAATGAGAGGAAAATTAAGAGTAGGAGCAACAGAGACAGCCTGCCTGACTTTGAGCTGCAGAGATTTGGATAAAGTATTTAGCCTGGGGTGCTTTGGTAAAGTAAGTATGATACTATTGCATCCTATGCAAGGCTATTATGGGAACTAAATGAGTCAGCACATGTGAAAGAAAGCATTTAAAACAGTGCCTGGCACATAATAATAGTTCCTCAACATTTACTTCACTTGGCAAGTAGAATATTTGTTTTCACGATATATGTGTGTATGCATGCATATATGTATATGTACATACACATGTAAACTTGTTAACTTAGTGGACTTTGTCTGTAACTTGAATGTAAATGTAAATAAGACTGTCATGTTTTAATCAGGCTGGAAGTGGAAGCCACCTAGGTTGAGCTTGCATGAGAAAAACAGTACTAGACAGCCATATGAGAAACATGTTCAGCTCTCTGTCTTCTTTTCATTGAGACCCCAATAAATCTGCAGATAGACACAATATAATTTATTAATAGATCCAGATCCCAGGAGACAGACTTGATTAACTCTGTAGACTTTGTGTGAAAAGGGGAGAATCTGGAGGAATTTATCCCAGCATCTTCCCAGCCCAGAGGTGAAGCCGGAGAAGACTGTAAGATTACTGTTTAATAACCCAGGAAATTCTATCCCTGGGTGCTCAGTCCTGTCATGGCTCTAGGGCAATTCATTTGGAGAACTATCCCAGAATCCTCTTCAGAGTGGGCCTTTAGGTATAGTGAGGTGGATGTGTGAGTAAGAAAACTTTTGGTTTCGAAGAACAGACTGAGTTTGTTGAATTATGCCTACCAAGACACAAACGACAGCTTGTGCCCTCTGGGAGCTTATCTTGTCGAAGAGATCATGAAACTGCAATTTTATTCATTCATTTAATTATGCAATAAATGTCTAATGTGTCTTATGTATAAAACTCTGTACTCAGTGTTTTGGGGAATACCCATGATGCAATAGCAGTGAGAGCCAAGTGAAATGACACCTACTTTGAAGTCCAGAAGAGTTTCAGAAAGAACTGTCTGAGCCATGGGCAGAGGCTTTACGGAGGAGGTGTTGAGAGGCAGGACATTCTTTTGGAGAGGCACATGCAATCATACAGTGAACAAGTATTTGGGGAATTTCTTGGGAAAGGGATATAAATAGTAACATAAGCTGTCACTTGCCAGTGGTTAAAGACAGCAAAAACTAATGTTGAGCGTTTTCTCCTATTCCACAGAGAAACAATCCTCAGGAAATGAAGCAAGAAGTCGAAAACATCTGCCTGAATCAAACCTCCCAAATACTGTGGCTGTGGTTTACCCTCCGTCAAACTCTATGATATTAAACTTATCTTTTATTATATAGTATGAAAGTATATCATGTTTTAGTAGATATAATACTAAGGGTGTGACATTTAAAAGAACACTAATGTTTAGTCTTTAATTACAGAAAGGATTCTTAACTTATTTTTGGCAAATTGCTACTGTTTAGTGTAGGCGCTTTAATGGGAGATGAGCACAGCCCCTCTAACGTCAACGGAAATACCTGCACTGTTGATGGCCGCCTTCTGAACAGGGTGTCTCATCTGCACCTGCAGACACCTCACTCTAGGGCAAACCTATAAGTGTAGTAGGGAAGGGAATTGAAAGTGGAAAAAAAAGGTTGGAACCAATGATAGCATCTAAACTCTGTTTAACAGCAAGAATTTTTTTTTTGTCTGTAATGATTCTTCTAACATTCTTATATTTGACTAAGAAGTAAATGGCAGCAGAGGAAATTGTACAAGCAGTTAGTGCCACAATGAAGCAGTCTGAAAGAAGCTTGTGGAATGTACGGCTGTGAATGCACTGTAAATCCAGCTTTAAAAGTGATCTAACAGACAACAGACCCTGAAGTGCCTCTGTGCAGCTACCAGACATATATTTAAGGTTGTATGTAATGTATTTCTAATTTATTTTATGAGGACTTTTGAAAATACACATGCTGCTTTGTAACAGATGTATTTCTTAATAAAATAATTCTTGCGTTACTTTCTCATGAATGGTGTTTTTAGTTTGGTTAAAGATTTTTACACATACGTTTCTGGGTGACACTGCTGTTAACATCTTTACCTCTGCTTGTGCCAACATCCCATTGGTCACACTTCCTTTTGTATGCTACTGACCCTCCCTGCAGGAAAAAAGTCTTCATAGATAGTTGGCTGGAAATATTGAGACATATGATTGGAGTGCATCATTTTCTCATATCTTTTCACACTAGTCACTCCACACCATTATGGAACATTCCTTGCCTCGGTATAGATAAAACAGGCAAAGGTGAACAGTAGGTGTTAGTTCTTTATGGTGCACCTGTTGGAAAGCACCCTCTCCTTTACCCTCAGATCTTCTTTCTGAGCACAGGTCGGAAAGGCAACCCTGGATGCAGAGCTCAGGCCAAGTAACAGTATATGGAAGCAGCTTCTCCCCCCCTCTCGCCCCCCCCCCATGAGTAGAGATGTCCACCTGAAAACTGATTCGAGTGCTAAGCCATCAAAGAAAAGAAAAATCAAATGTCCCCAAACCTGTCTTATTCACCAAAAAGGAGCTAACAATAAGCATCCAGTAACTATTTCAAAAGTGCCTACTGTGAGTCAAGGTTTCTGGGTTGAGGTTTGGGCTGAATACTTAGATACAAAAGTAAGTAAGACGGTTGCCCTTATGTAGAAAGGCTCAGAGGGGAGCTGAATAAGCAGTTATCAATAGTCTGTAACAAATTGACAAGTGTTGACCGGTTAATTTTCTTTTGTATGGAGGTAAATCAGGACAGGCACACTTCCAAGAGTCTTCCTCGCAATTTCCTACCGAGAGCTTTAAGTGTCGTCTGAAGAAAAACTCCAATGGGTCTAGAAGAGGACAGCATTCAGTGATTTTCTGAATAAAAGTTGTGGAGGGAGGGCTGATATTTTAAATATGTTAGCTCTGCCTTAATACAAGTGCACTCTACCTTTTATTAAACTGTGAGGAAAAGGTAGCATTTTTTTCTTAGAACTTTAGACCCAGTTACCCAACATGTAGAGAAGAATATCCTCTCTAAATATTATGAAAAGCAGCTCTGAGCATTATGCCAAAAAATATCAAACTGTTCTGGGGTTTCCAGTGTACTCTCTTTTCCAATAATCAATTTTTTTGTGTTAGTTATAGTTTTAGGAATATAGTCTGAGGGGCCATGGTCCAGTAAGTGAAGGCTAGTCATGGCCATTTGAGTTTGATCCCCAGAGCACACATAAAGATGGAAGGAGAGAATGAACTCTACAATGTTGTCTTCTTACCTCCACATATATTCCATGGAGTACACATACATGCATGTACACATACACACACACACACACACACACACACACACACACACACACACACACACTATTCATACAGAGTCAATAATAATTGAAAACTATCATCTGCAGGCTGGAAGTGTAGCTCAAGTGAGAAAGCACAGGCCTGCCAAACTCAAGACCTTGAAGTCAATCTGTAGCAGCACCTCCCCTACCCAGCCCAGTAATAGAAATAGCAAACAAGAATATCATCTGGCTGACATAGCCATTTTTAAATACAGCTGCACTTTTTGAAACCCATTATCGGGCTGGAGAGATGGCTCAGAGGTTAAGAGCACCAGCTGCTCTTCCAGAGGTCCTGAGTTCAGTTCCCAGCACCCACATGGTGGCTCACAACCATCTGTAATGAGATCTGGTGCCCTCTTCTGCATACATAATAAATAATAAATAAATAAATCTTAAAACCCATTATCTGCAGAGGACCAACTACTGGTCAAGTTTCACTGATTATTGTTATGAAAATGTGTTTAGGTGTAAACATGAAAGTAATAGTTTGTACTTGAGGATAAAAATCTAATTATATGTCTTAAGTCTCAGGTTCTGCACCTCTGAAGATAATGCTTCCAGAAGTTTCGGTTTATAGGAGTTAAACTACATAATAAATACAGAGCCCTTGGAAAATGCTAAGAAAAAATACTTTAAATGTCATTATTCAAACGCTTCTTTGATAACAAAGGTGAGAAATAGAGAGTGGAACCGAGAGGGGGACGGGAACTGGCAAGCCTCTGCCTTTGGGCTTTTGGTCTATTACTGCTTTTGATGGAACGGAGGCTAGGAGTTTTAAGTGTCCAGCTGTTGATAGCTTGGCGGTTTTGATTTCTACCAAGTTGGTGGAGTTCATAGGACAGAGTACCAAAAGACGAGGGAAAACTGGAGAACTTTGGAAGCTAACTCTTGTTGTTGAGGACAGCACTTAAAGGCATATGCCTTGAGAAAATTACACATGAGAGGGGGAAGAAACAACCAAACAATTAGAGGAAACAGTGCCCATTGCTCACTCCAAGCAAGGAAAATGGCCTGTCCTCACCAGGCAGACTGGAAAATTTTGTAACCTATTAGGCTATGAGTAGGGTGTTGAACTGGTTAGTTTGAGGTCAACTTTACATAAACTAGAGTCATCTAAGAGGAGGGAGCCTCAGTTGAGGAAATGCCTCCATAAGATCCAGCTGTATCCCTAAGTTGTGAGCACGGGAAAATTGTCCTCATTACTCATATGTCATGTGGCAGCATGGGCGGCAGAGAGATGCCCTCTGTCCCCACACCCATCAACGCTAAGGCAGGTGGAAGAGCTGGACCTGAGGTCAAAAGGGCAGGAGAGCTGCCCCTGCCCGCCACCAGCTGTAGCAATTGGGAGAGCTGGCCCTGCACTTTGCCTGGGCAGCACAATAGAGGCAACCCCATTGGCAGAGGTGTGGGCAAGCCAGTCCCAAAATTGTGAGCATGGAAGAGCTGTCCCCATTACTCACCTGTCATGTGACAGCATGGGTGGGAGAGAGATGTCCTTCCTCCCCCTATCAACTCCTGAGGCAGGTGTGAGAGCTGCCCCTCACCCTCATCTGCTGCAGAACCCAGGAGAGTGGCCCCTACACCATGCCTAGGCAACACAGTAGAGCTGGCTCTGAGGGTGTAGGTGTGGGAGAGCCCACCCTGAGGACAGGAAAGCAGGAGAACTGGCCCCGCCCCTTGCTCATCACTGCAAAGGGTGAATTCACCAAGGTAATGCAGGAGAGCCTCACCCTGGTGGTGAGGACAAGGGAGAGCTGGTGGGCTGACCAACCCTGCAACTACCCAGGCCCAGAACCAGGGTTATGGGTTGGTGCATCCCAATATCCACCCCATCTATGATCTGCTGGAGCACATGAAGGGACCAATCCTGCAGTCCTAAAGTTACAGAATTTCCACAACACAGGGCAACAGCAAGATATCCAAGAGGAGTCCCAATGAGGGCCCAGCATCGATAGTGTAGCAGAAACCAGAGGCCTTGAACCAGACCAATGACTCTCTGCAGTGAAGACTTGCAAGTAAAGATATGTGGACAAAAGGGTTTACTGTGTGACTCACTGTGTCACACTACAGCTTCCATGATGAGATCCCCCCTTTTGTTTCTTTTCTTTTTTCTCTTAAATTTTATTGGGGGGTACTGCAAGGGCAGAGGGTAGATACTCAGTGATGGGAAATAAATGGGATCAAGATGCATAATGTGAAAGACACAAAGAATAAATAAAAAGAAAGTTTTAAAATAAAATCCAGCTGTAGGGCATTTTCTTAATTAGTGATCAATTTGGGAAGGTCCAATCCTGGTGGTCCTGGCTTCTATAAACAAAGCAGGCTGAGTAAGCCACAAGAGGCAAGTCAATGAGCAGCCTGGCCTCTCTATCAGCTCCTGCCTTCAGGTTTCTGCCCTTTGTGAGTTCCTGTCCTGACTTCCTTGAGTGATGAACAGTGACACAGAAGCCAAATAAACCATTTCTTCCCCAACTTGCTTTTGGGTCATGGTGTTTCATCACAGCAACAGAAACCCTAACTAAGACAGGTGCTTACAAACATCTTACCTTTGTATGGCAGTATAATTAGCCCAAGCTTCAATAATCTTACCTAATGAATATAAAAATAGAATTTAAAAAGAACCTGTTCCTAAGAAACTTAGCTGTATTCCACAACAAACACCAGGATGCTTATGAAGTAAATAATGGCTCACACACATGTGAATGTACCCACACAAAGATACACATACATAATTAAAAGCAAATCTTTAAAGACTAAAAGAAAAAGGAAACAAAGGGAAAGAAAGGAAGATGAAAAGGTATGAAAGGATCTTGAGAACAGAAAAGCAGTAAGAACTATTGTGTCCTGTGGTGGCACACTCTTTATCTGGAGGTTGAAGCAGACAAATTTTTATGTGTTCACACCTTGAGTTCCAGGCAGCCAGGGATATAGTTTAAGACCTTATCTCAAAAATAAGAAGCAAATATGGTTCTTGATAGGTACAAAAGGTACTACTGACTCAGAAATAGCGTAGAAGTTAGAATTAGTAGGCGTAACATTAAATTAATTACTGTAACTCTTTCAGAATGGTCAGGGAACAGAGACGCTCCAAGCTCGACTTCTAGATAAGAAAATCACAATGTGTAAAATAAATACCCAGTGAATAGTTTTAACCAGAGGCTGGTCATTGAAACATTAGAATTAAAGATATGCTAAGGAAAACTTTCCTAAATCAAACATATATGGAAAATAATTAAAAATGAAAAGACCATCAGTGAGCCATGGAACAATCAGAAGTGCCTAATGTGTAGTAGGAGCCTCTCAAAGAGTCAGAAAAAGTCAGAGAAGGAAACATCAGCTCTAGTTTCCAGCATGATAAGTCTCTAACCCTGAAATCCCAAGAAGCTCTCTAGAGTACAGGGAGTAAAACCACCGTGATGCTTAATGAATCAAATTACCCAAAACCAGAAAATACTAATATTGGTGACAAGAGTTATAAATGTCTTCAGCATATCCTTCTTAAAATGTTTGTTCAAAGCCTTTGATTCTACTTCTTTGGTCTTTACTGCTATGGTCTTTTTTCACAAGCCATCTCATGCTAGTGTGTTGTTGGTTGTTTTTGCTCTTTTGGAGGGCCTGCCACCCAGCTCCCAAATAAATCACACATGGAGGCTTATTCTTT